TTCTTTCTTTCTTTCTTTCTTTCTTTCTTTCTTTCTTTCTTTCTTTCGAGACAAGGCTTCTCTGTGTAGCCTTGGCTGTCCTGGTCCCCCTTTGTAGACCAGCCTGGCCTCAAACTCACAGCAATCTGCCTGCCTCTGCCTCCCTCAGTTCCATCTTATTTCTTAACCCCGGGCTCACTGGTTTGGCTGAACTTTTGTCTTTGCTTACACAGTGCTTAGATTACAGTATCACCACACTCGGCTTCTTATGTGGGTGCTGAGGATTCTAACTTGGGTCCTCTTGCTTGCTTAACAAGCACTTTACTGTCAGAATCCTCTTTCCAGCCCCGAACTAACATTTCAACAATGGTGCTTTCTGGCCTATGACTGTCTAGCCCTCTGCCTCCATGTAGCTAGTGTTTCTATAGGCTATCCTTTGTGGCTTTCCATAAAGGTGTCTTGGCACATATCTTGTAAACTCTCCCTGGGGCGTTTGTGGTTTCTCCATACCGTGTAGACATGATCTCTTCATTTTTGCTTTCCAGTTGCTAATAGTGACTTGATTTTGTTTATTGACCTAACAGCTGTCCTTTCAATTTACTCCTGAGGTTTGCAAATAATCATGGTCTCTCTACCCCTTCCCATACTGTTTCATCACGTAGCCAAGGCCTTCTTTAGGAAGGAACCACAAAGTCAGGCATTGCTCGACTTGCCAGGAAAATGCTTTTCCTTCATCACTAAACACGATTCCAGGGCCCAGCCATTAGGAGAGAGCACTTGCTGTTCTTGCAGAGGACCAGAGTTTGGTTCCCAGCACCCTACATGGCAGCTCACAAGTGCCTGTAACTCCAGTTTCAAGCGACCTGGCTTCCCCTTCTGGCATATGAGCACAGCGTATGCACACACACAGGTATCTTGTTTATTTGCATATTTCCACATCAGGCTGGTAAGTCTCACGTACTCCCAGTTTTCCAAGAGCGTTTCAAATATACATGTGTCTTGGATGCTATTAACTAGTCCTTTCTTTCCTCTGTTAAGATGAGCACATAGTATTTCCCCTTTGTTAATTGGGGTGGTTTACATTGATTTTTTTTTCACTTTATTTATTTATTTATTTTATTCACTTTACATCCTTGTAGCCCCTTCCTTCCTCCCCTCCCAGTCCTGCCTTCTCTCCTTCCCTCCTCACTCCTCCCCTTTTCCGATCTGCCCTTTCCCATCTACCCTAGCTCATCAAATTGCATCAGGACTGAATGTGTCCTCTTCCCCTGTGGCCTGTCCTGCCAGGGGAAAGTGTTCTAAAAACTAGCATGTGAGTCCATGTTCAAAGCAGTTCCCACTTCCCTTACTAGAGGACCCACTTGAGGCCTAAGCTCCCAATCTGCTGCATCTTTCTAGGGTGTCTAGGTCCAGTTCATGCACGGTCCTTGGTTGATGCTTCAGTCTCAGAAAACCCCTTTGGGCCCTGGTTAGTTGGCTCTGTTGTTTTTCTTGTGGCACTCCTGTCACTTCCAGGTCCTTTTCTCTTTCCTCCCACTATTCCCCAAGACTCCCTACACATCGCCCAATGTTTGGCTGTGAGTCTCAACGTCTGTTTTGAGACAGTGCTGGGTGGAGCCTCTCAGAGGACAACTCTGACAGGCTCCTGTCTGCAAGCTTAGCAGAGTATCATTCGTAGTGCCAGGAGTTGGCACTCTCCTGTGGAGTGAGTTTACATTGATTTTGAAGAAATACTTTTTATTATTTCTAATTGTGTGTCTGGGACTGTGATGTACGCATGAGAATGCAGCTGCTCACAGAGGTCCAAAACAAGAAGTCAGATGCCCCGGAGCTGGAGTTACAAGCAGTTGTGAGCTTCTGATATGGGTGCTGGGAACCAAACTCTGACCCTCTGCAAGACCAGTACATGCTCCTATCTGTTGACCTTTCTCTTCAGCCCTTGCATTGGTGTGTGTGTGCGTTTAATTTTTTTTTTTTTTTTTTTTTTTTTTTTTTTTTTTTTTTTTTTTTTTTGCAGTGCTGGGGATCAAATCCAGGCTTTTGCTCATGCCAGGTGAACACTCTACCTCGGAGCCCCAGCCCAGCCCAAACAACACCGACTCAACTCCCAACACTGACCCCTAGTTTCTTGGGTAGCCTCCACGTGATCATGACCTATTATCTATCTGGCAGATGCTCGGGTGGAATCTGCTGGTGTTCTCATCAGGATGTTTCACGTATGTTCACAAGGGGGGCTGGCGCCTGTCCACTGCTGTGTGAACTGTGTCCTCGGAGTCATGAGTAAACAGCTGCTCACCTCAGATAGTGCATTGGCAGACTAATGGGGTCGCAGGTCCAGCCTGACGAACCAATGAGCTTATCGGGGTTAACTCTGGGAGTGTGGGTGACCGCCACCCAAACAGCTCCGTCACTGAGAAGTCCCACCACAGCAGAGATGACGAGAGGATTATCTTCCCATAGTGACCTAAATGGAACCCCGCCTTCATTGACCTTCTACTCTCTACTCTACCTCATGCCTGCTGAGACCACGCACAGCTGGGACAGAGGGAGGTGCAGGCAGGAGTGGCCGGACTCTCAGGGGAGGGTAGATGGCCATCCCCACTCACCCTTCTATGGGAGCTTCTACAGGCTGCATCTTGAGTTTCCTGTAGGCTATCACAGCTGCTGTGATGATGTGGCCAATGCTTGGAGGTCAGTGCTCCAGGACCCTTCTTTCCTTGTAAAGTCCTTGCAGAGGACTTTCTTCCTTCAGTGTGAATTTGTATAAAACCAGTATGTTTCACCACGCTCCCATAAGAGGGCTTCTCTTATGGGAGAAGCCATTACTCTTTCTTCCTTCAGTGTGAATTTGTATAAAACCAGTATGTTTCAAGGCAGATGCTCCCATAAGAGGGCTTTAAAGTACATCTTCTATCTCTTTTTCACCTGTTTATTTTGCCTTAAAAATTTCATTTGAGGGCTGGAGAGATGGCTCAGAGGTTAAGAGCATTGGCTGCTCTTCCAGAGGTCATGAGTTCAATTCCCAGCAACCACATGGTGGCTCACAACCGTCTAAAATGAGATCTGGTGCCCTCTTCTGGTGTGCAGGTGTACATGCAAACACACATTGTATACATAATAAATAAATAAATCTTTAAAAAAAATTTCATTTGAGCCAGATGTAGTGGTGTACACCTTTAATCCCAGCACTTGGGGGGCAGAGGCAGTCAGCTCTCTGTGAGTTAAAGACCAGCCTGGTCTAGGTTGTAAGTTCTAGCACAGCCAGAGCTACAGAGTGAGAGCCTGCCTTGGAAAAAAAAATATAATTTTTTAAAGATTCATTTTGTCGTGTGTGTGTGTGTGTGTGTGTGTGTGTGACTTGTGTCTGTGTGAGTGTATTACATACCAGTGTACAGCAACCATAGGGGCCAGGAGAGGATATCAGGTGCCTTGAAGCTAGATTTACAGGTGTTTGTGAACTGCCCCATATAGGTGTTGGGTTCCAGATTCTGATCCTCACGTTTGAGCAGTGAGTGTTCTTAATTTCTCAGCTCCTGTATTTGCCTTTAAAAAAATGTTGCAGCAAATGCTAAACCTTGGAGTTCCTGGAAGGGACCATCAATGACACATGGAGACTACATGGACTCTCTGGGTTCCTTTAAGTGGAGAAAAGAACAATGCTATTTTACAGTTTGGTGTGTTTAAAGAGCCCAGTGGGAGTTTACTGGGAGTGTCATGCCTTGCCTGACACTTTGGAGGTCATAAGGACTCAGCTCCCTGTGAAGGTACTTCCCCAAGGCACGCCTGAAGACCTTTTCCTCCTGGCTATCAGATTGCCCTCCAGTATTCGGAAGAGACACGTGAAGGCCAAGAAGAAGATTAACTGAATTGCAGAGTGCCCTTAGTGTTTACAATTTTGATGAAAGCTTTACAGGCGATCTTATAGCCACAAACACAGTCTTGCTATGTAGCCCTGGTTGGCCTTGAATTCCCTATGTAGATCAGAATGGCCTCTAACTTGTATTCTTCCTATCTCAGCCCTCAAAGAGCTGGGATTACACATGTGTCCCACCACACCCTGACCTTCATGATTAAGGGGTAACAAACTGTCCTCACGTAATCCCCTGCCAGGTTATGGATCTACCTCATCCTGACCTCATGGCTCCAGCAGGTGAAGAAACTCTGAGGCCCCGCCAAGGTAGCTGACGTAACTGACACTCAGCAGGGATGGGGCCAGGGCCTCTCCTTCGGCTTCTGCCATGTTCAGAGCCTTGGCTCTGCGAAGTCACCACTATGTGAGCCCTGCAGAACCTAAGCTTCCCAGAGGCCCCGGCCTGGTAGAGACAGCCCCAGCCCTATCTCCAAATAAGCAGGTGGCTAGACAGAGCTAATGGCCTGGAAGAGTCTGGCTACAGGAGGTACCTAGGAGACGCTGAGTAAGGATGTTTGGCGGCTTCCTGTGGGGAGGTAGGTAGACCCAGTCTCACCAAAGGCAGGAGAGCCAAACAGACAGATGGGGCCTCCTCTTAGAGCCGGCAGGGGCTGGCAGGGTGCCATTTTCATTAGTGCCTTATTATGTGACAGAGCTGCTTAGAGTATGCACAGGGAAGGGGGCCAACTTCTTGACAGCCACTCTGGAGTAGAGTTTGAGGGGGCGCTATTTCCTACCCAAATATTGTCCCCTTGCTCTCATAGGCTCCAAAGTTCTATTGGTGCCACACTTTGATGGGGTAAAGTTAGATAAACTGGAAATAGGACAGGAAGATGTCGCAGATTTTTTTTTTCTCACATAAGGGCTGGACTAGTGCAGGCCATGAGCAGCCACCTCACAACCTTCATCACTGTCACCATCGCCACTTACATCAGTGTCATCATTACCATCACTATTGTCACCATGAGCACCCTCAGTGCCATCATCCCCACCATCATCGAAACTATTACCACCATCAGCATCAGCACCACCATCATTGCTTTCTTCATCACCACCGTTGCTGTTATCACCATCATCATCACCACCACCACAATTTCTTTCTTCATCACCATCATCACCACTCTTCTCCCTAAGCCATCCCTACTGTCTGCCAAGGATAAATGCCAGCTCAAGTGATCATAGAGTCAGGAGCCATCCCTCTAACTTGATACTGTCACAATTGGTCACAAGCCTGCTAGGTGCCCAGTTGATGCTGAATGAAGAGAAGGGAAGGGAAAGAAGAGGAAGAGAGGGAAGGGGAGGGGAATGAAGGGGTGAAAAAAGGAAGGGATCAGAGAAGATAAGCAAGGAAGAAGGGAAGAAAGAAGTAGAGGGGGAGATATAAGTGAGAAACCAGAGAGGGACTCAGGGAGGGAGGTAAGGGAGATGAGAGGAAGCAGAGGTTGACATCAGACAAAGCAGAGGACAGGCAGGGATCTGCAGGTGTCCTCTTCATAAATTCTAGGAACCTCAGCCCCAGCTACTGGGTTCAGGGTGCCCTAGAAAGCCAAGAGCACCCAGGGTGAACAAAGTGAACATCTCATACCGCTCCCCATGTCCTGCTTTTCCATAAAGCAACCTCCTTCTCCCATAGTACCCCCTAGTACACATGGGCTACTGAACCCCCATCTCCTGAATCTCCCCAGTGGCCAGGACAAACCAGGGAGCCTCTGGAAGAGTCAGTGCCCACACCTAGGCTCTGGGCAATAGGATGCCTTTCAGGAGGAGCGTCTGAGAGGCAGGTGAGAGAAGACGTACATCTTCATGTGCTTCCTAAACATTTATGTTCCATAAATTTCATTCATCTCTTTACAAAGTTCACTTCGAGATGAGTAAACTGAGACACAGAGAGAGCCTGTGTTCAACCAGTAGGTGGTCTATAAGGCCTCCTGTCTCCTCTTTGAAGTGTACAGGGCAGGGTGGCCTGCCAGATTGCCACTGTGCTACCCAAATCCTGTGGCCCTGACCCCTCTCCCCTACACCCTGAGCTTCACTGTCCAGGAGTCTGTGCCAGGGACAGAGCTAAGGGTAAGCAAGCCCGTCTTTGCCACACACCAACACACAAAGGCAGACACCCACAGTGGAGGGCAAGGCACAGTTCTGCTGACGTCGTAAGTACAGCCCAGAGACACTAAGATTTTTGGTCCAACTTTCCCCACCCCCTAGCCTTTTGGGGCAGGCATGGTGCTTCTCCCCAAAGAGGAGTTACGGGGAGGAAGAAGAGCCGGACAGGGTAGGAGAGGGAAGGGTAAGGGAGAGGAGGCAAGGGGTCCGGGGAAAGGTTAGGCATGGTGTTGGGAGGAGCCAGTGCCCACACACTGCAAACAGCCGTAGAATACAAAAGATGGGTCACCCACCTTCTCTGTGCCTCAGCCTTTGTGCCTAGAAGAGAAAGACGATCGGTGGAGTTAGAGTGCTTGTCAGGGGGTCTTTGGCGTTTGTTAAAGAGCCATTCCTCCTCCTGCAGCCCCTACTCAAATCAGCTGCAGAAGAGACAGCCCTGGTGTTGGGTAAGCGCAGATCTCACCAAGGCAGCTCCTGCTGCAGCCAGGTCGGGCTGGGTGCCCAGAGGAAGGCTGCCGGGGACTAAGCTGGCGGGGACAGCCGTCCCCGAACACCCCACACAGGACCATTGTGGGTCACTAGTTGTAAGTCTCTGGGGTGCATCCCTGCAGTGAGCTCCTCAGCCCTAGGTCGCCCCCGCGGTGCCTCACGCGCCCTCTGCACAGCCTCTCACTTGCCTGTGGCTGCTACCCCGCCAGGAAGAACCTCCACTGGAGAAGGAGTGGTCCGATCCTGCTTGCCATTGGCTCTGAGCGGCTTGTCGGAGGCGGGACCAGACTCCTTGGCGGCCCAACCCACTGGAGATAGAAGAGCTGAGCGTGGCGAATTGAGGATCAGCCCGGAGGAGAAATCTGCCCTGTGCCCTCATGCCATGCTGCACGGTGAGTGTGCAATACCCCAACCCCGCACCCCACGCAGCCTTGCCCCATCCCTGAAGCCACACTGCTGAGGTGCGCTGGAAATCCGAGGGTCTGGAGCCATGTGGGGAGGAGGCTAGGGACCCTGCTATAGCGGGTTTTTTTTTTTTTTTTTTTTTTTTTTTTCTGCTGACTTCAAAGTTTCCTGGAGTTGCATCTGGTCAGCTGACCCAGAAGTCAGAGGGGCACCTCTGCTCTGAGTCTGCTGTCCCCCAGCAGTTCTCAGCCTCACGGGATGATAGCAGGAGCGATGAGAGCAGACAGCTCGTTCCAGCAGCCTTGAGGTGCCTTGGGCAGGATGCTGCATTGCACCTACAAACAGTGCCCTGCTTCCTTGTCTGGGTGGCCCTTGCCCACCTACTGCCAGCACTACTGGCAGAGTGGTGAGGGGAGTAAGAGGTGTGTAGGCAGCCCTCACACCCTGTGCCTTCTTAAGACTTCTAGCTTGGCTCACCCTCTCTAAATTTCTAACTTAATTGGCAAGATTTGGGACGATACAGAGGGGCAATTTAGACAGATCCCCCTATGGCAGGAACTGGCCAAAGACTTGCTGGGTACAGACAGGTTCCTGGGGACAAATGGGAGTCAGCAGGCTGACATTCCTTGGCTGGGGCTTAGCTAGAGCCTTTAAACATGGGCTCCCAGGACACTGGCTGGTGCAGTATCTACCCCAGAGTAGCAGTTCTCAACCTGTGGGCTGTGACTCCTTTGGAGGTTTGCGTATCAGTAGAAAACTGTAGAAAAATTAGTTATGAAGTAGCAAGCAAATTTCATGGTTTGGGGGTGGTGGTGGTCCTCATGTGAGGAACTGTATTAAAGGGTCGCAGCTTTAGGGAGGTTGAGAGCCACTGCCCTGGAGGGAAGTCTGCCTTGTGCCTAATAGGAAGGACCCCACTGCTCCCCCCCACACATCGTCCCTTGGTCTGATGCCTCAGTGCCCATTATACAATGTGGGAGAGGCAGTACCAGCTTTGGGGATGGCTCCTGAGAAAGGAGGCACTCTGTCCTGGCTCTAGAGGTTTCCAAGAGCACATTGCGCAGAGCAAGGCTAGCCTGAGACCTTCGGCTGGGGTCACGGCAGAGCTGCCAGGAGAGGAACAGGTGCCATTAGCTCTTGCCCCCCTCACTGCGGCTGCAAAGGAACAGGGCTTCCATGTAATCCTAGACTCAAAGGTGCTCTGGGCTACGGGCTCTGGGTGGTACTGGTTAAAGAGGATGGAGGCAGGAATGGAGCCATAGGGTCTCATCCTCCCAAGGTGCTAGGAAAGTCAGGGTTGCTACTTTCCATGGCCAAAGCCCAGGAGGGGCCATGGTGAGGACTGCTGCTTGCTCTCTGCCAGCCTTTATGTAACACACCTTACAAGAAGCAGCCACGCCAACTGCTTGCCTGTCTACCAGGGAGCTCTGTTTCCCGGAGGCTCTGCAGACTCCCTGGGCCTTCCACCCCTTGTCATCATTTCCATGTGCCAGCTAAGGGTCCTGCCCACCCAGAGACCACTGTGTTCTGGAGTCTTTGGAGCACTGTGCCAGAGCAGCCCCCTACCCCCACCCCCAGCCCAGCCCAGTTTTCAGCAAATATGGCAGCTGAGCACCTGAGGTGGGAAACCTAAAGCTGGAGACAGGCCCAACTCTGTGGCCTTGGAGAACCAAAAAGCCATCCTGAGCTTCAGTCTTCAGTGAGAGAAGCCCCTGCATAGGACATGTACAAGGGGGAGGACAGCAGGCTCCCTGTAAAGGCTTGAGCACCATGCCTGGGGGAGCTCGCAGCACGAAGTCACTAAAACTGCAGGCCTAATCCCATGACATAGTCCAGGGCCCAGTGCTGCCACTCATTCTAGGACGATAGATAAACTGATGGAGCTGGGTAAGTTAGGTATGGTCAAGAGTGTGAAACTGAGGTGGTGGGATTCTATGGGTCCTAGCTGTCCACTACTTTGAAAGTCTTAACCGGATTTGGGGTACTATGGCCCTCACTGCCACAGTGTCCTTTGCCCTTATAGTGCCCCTGTCTGGCTGATAGAGTCATTACTGTTTCCTACCTCTGTGACCCTTTCTGGCCCTTGGGCAGAGTCTATTTCCAGACTGAGTATCACTGGGCTGTCCTTACTATGTCTTCCCCTTAGACAGAATGGCAAAGAGTTCTCAAGTCCACTAGTTGCTGTTCTGCCCATTCCTATGAGGACACACAGCCAAGGTGACAGAGGACCAAGCAGGGCCAGTACCGGGCAGTGGGAGCCCAGAAGATAGATGTCTTGCCTTTCTTGTCTGTCCCTACTCCTCAATGTGCACTGAGACCTGCCAGATGATCTCTCCAGTGGCCCCTTCTGGCTCATGAGTTCTGTCCTTACCCTATTCCCCATCTATTAGGTAGTGAGCTTTCAGAGTACCCCAGCATTTCCGAGACATCTGCTGAGCAGTCAGGGCAACGCAAACCCTTCCACCCTGTAACCCTGTGCAAGCCTGACACCTGGTGACCAGCCGAGGACCCGAGGAAACCCTAGGGAGAGGCCACCAGGCTGAAGTACTCCATTCTGTGAGCTGGGCTTTCCCTGAGATCAGTAGCTGGGATGGAGTTGGGTCAGCTCGGAAAATGAAGACTAAGAAATGGGTGGTCTCAAGTTTGACATAGAGGCTATTCTTACCTTTATCACCGAACCTGCATGAAGCCCATCAAAAAACAAATGTAGGGTAGGTGGCAGAGGGCAAGGCTGGGTCAGCGAGGTGACAGCAGACTCTTGGCAGGATGTGGGGTGAGGTTCTGTTCCCAGGACCTAGGCTCAGACATCAGTCCTGATGCTTCGAAGGCGGGGTGACCTGTTGCAGCCTTCTCTGCTTTGCTTTTCCCCTTCTTTGAACAACAGCAATAAGAGCAGCCACCCCCTGTGTTCACAAGAACTGAATGTTTGCAGGTATCTGCTGTTTGCTATGTGTGTGGAGAGATAGATGTTTTGTATGTTGGCCATGGTGATGGTCACTGGAATATCATCTAGTTTCGATGTGACAGCGCATATGGACAAATTGGAAGTACAGATTTTTGTTTGCTTGCTTGCTTTTGTATTCTTTTTAATTTATTTTTATTAATTACAGTTTATTTACATTGTATCCCAACTATAGCCCCCTCCCTCATCCTCTCCAATTCCCCTCTCCCTCCCTCTTTTCCACCCATGCCCCTCCCCCAGTCACTGATAAGGCAGGTCCTCCTCCCCTTCCATCTGATCCTAGTCTATCAGGTCTTATCAGGACTGGCTGCATTGTCTTCCTCTGTGGCCTGGTAAGGCTGCAACCCCCACAAGGGGAGGTGATCAAAGAGCAGGCCACTGAGTTCATGTCAGAGACAGTCTCTGTTCCCATTACTAGGGAACCCACTTGGACAGTGAGCTGCCATGGGCTACATCTGTGCAGAGGTTCTAGGTTATCTCCATGTATGGTCCTTGGTTGGAGTATCAGTCTCAGAAAAAACCCCTGGACCCAGATTTTTTTTTTCTCTCCTTGTGGAGCTACTGTCCCCTCCAGGTCTTTCCATCTCCCCCTTCTTTCATAAAATTCCCTGCACTCTGCCCAAAGTTTGGCTATGAGTCTCAGCCTCTGCTTTGACACCCTGAAAAGTAGAGTCTTTCAGAGGCCCTCTGTGGTAGGCTCCTGTCCTGTTCCCTGTGTTTGTTTGTTTGTTTGTTTGTTTGAGAAAGTCTCCTGTAGCCTAGGCTAGTCTCAAAATCCGTGTGTATAGCCTAGGCTGACTTCGAACTTCTGATCCTCTTGCCTCCACCTCCCAGTTTCTGGGACTACAAGCATTGCCACACCCAGCTGGGGACTCAGAGTTTTGGTACTTTTAACACGGCATGTGGACTTCAGGCACAATGCCCATAGGACCCACTAGCAAAATGTCCTTGAGCTTTGGGCCACAGCAGGGCCAATCTTCTCACAGGAAGCTACCTCACAAACAAGAGGCGCGTGAAGGAACCTGCTGGGGCTCTGCCTCAGAGGTGGAGCACTGTCCCTGAGGGGTGGGACCTGCTGGGCTCTGAAGACACCAGTCCTGGATCTGAGCTCTAACCCCAGGCTGGGCCCTATCTAGACACCTGTTGGTGCCTGGGAGACTGGGTCCCATGTACTGTCTCTCAGGGATCTTGGCTCCCAGTTCCTCGACATCCTTTGCCTCTGGCCGGCTCCTGGCCTTGGCGGACAGGAGGAGGTGAAGACAAGAATAGCAATTGGGCTGAGGAAAGCCTCTAGAACTCCTGTGTTTTCAGCCAAGGAGGAGAGGAAAACAACAGGGTGGTAAGCAAGGCCAGCAGGTGTTCAAGTGAGAAAAAGAGCAGAAGATAACTGCTGTCCCTGGGAGTCCCTGGTTGAGGAAGGACAACTCAAGGCCCACTTCTACACTGAGGCCACAGTCATGGATGGGGTAGGGGATCTATGAGCCACAAAAGCCAGGGTCAAGGGTGACTACAGGGGATGCCGTTGGGTTAGTGGCTGCTAGAAAGGATGCCGTTGGGTTGATGACTGCTGATGGGGCATCTTATCTGTATGAGGGGCAGGGAGGGCTTGACAATCCCAACCTCCCAATATTGAGCTTGTTGCTTCTCTTTGGCTGGAGTCCCACCCCCAGGCTGCATGTACCCCTTGCCTGGACAGTCCATTTGGATCCTCACTGCTTCTGAGCCCCCATTGCATGAGTCAGACCACACAGGTCACTCCAGCCCACCACCTCCCCACTTTCTCCAGGGTAAAGCTGGAGCAAGGACAAGGGCATCTAAGGCCTGCCAGCCAG